CCCCTGTCTTAAGGCCTCCTGGCTGAGGAATTCTGGGAGTTGAAGTCCACAAGTCATCCAAGGGCCACGTTGGAAGACCCCTGTCTTAAGGCCTCCTGGCTGAGGAATTCTGGGAGTTGAAGTCCACAAGTCATCCAAGGGCCACGTTGGAAGACCCCTGTCTTAAGGCCTCCTGGCTGAGGAATTCTGGGAGTTGAAGTCCACAAGTCATCCAAGGGCCACGTTGGAAGACCCCTGGATTAATCATTCTGATTGTCAGGAAGTTTTCCAGGTTGGATCTGTCTCAAATGCTCTGCCACCCGTTATTTCCTGCCTTGCCTTCTGGTGCTTTGGAGAAGAGGGTGTCCCCCCTCTTCTTTGGGGCAGCCCCTCAAATACTGGAACATTGCTCTGTCCCCCTTAATCCTTCTCTTCGTTCGACTAGACCAGTGGTTCTCAACCTTTTTAATGCCGCGACCCCCAACCGGTCGTAAGTCGAGGACTAAATCGGTCGTACGTTGAGGACTAAACCGGTCGTAAGTCGAGGACTACCCAGCCGGTCGTAAGTCGAGGACTTTCCCTGCCCGGGAGCGCCGCGCATGCGTGGTTCCGCCCTCTGTGCTGGCCGAGGCGTAGCTGGCAAGCGGCAGAGACGGAGCAGGCCAACCACCAGCTGGCCCAGCCCAAGGGAGGTAAGGCACCCGCCGGAAAAGGGGGAAAAAATGGCGCACAAAAAAAATGGCGGACAGCCTTGCTTGGCGACCCCCATGAAATGGTCGATCGTCCCCAAATGGGGTCCTGACCCCCAGGTTGAGAACCACTGGACTAGACCTACCCAATCCCAGCAACCGTTTCTTACGTATTTCAGCCTCCAATCTTTCTTACGTTATGCTGACCAAAGAAGCTGGATGGGGCAAGGGGTGGGGAGGTGGCATGGACTGAGAGCCCCCCCCCAAGACCCTCATCAACGAAAGAAGAGCTAGCCCACCTTCCTGCTTCTTGAGCAGGTCGTCCTTCTCGGGGTTGGCGGGCAGCTCCGGCGGTTTGATCTGCGTGGCCAAGTCTGGGTTGATGTCGTGGCTGTAGCTGATGTAGTACATGCGGCAGCTGCACCTGGAAATGATGCGCTGGACCTGCTGGGTGGGCTGCACCTCGTGTGGCTGGTTCCAGTCTGGGGGGGGTGGAGGGGGGGGGCAGAAGGAGAGCAGCTGAGTCCGGGGCCAAGTGCCCAGGATGCTCCCTGCCCGAGCATCTTCAAGGACAGGATGCCAGGCCTGCTTGGGCGGTCTGGCTGCGCTGCAGGAGGCATTGTGGCTGGCACCGCCGTCTCCTGCAGTGGGGCACCCTCCCCTCCCCCCATGCCAGTCCTGGGCAGGCTGGCTGCTGACCTGTGGTGGTGCTGACCATGCCACCCACGGCCTGCCCGCTCTCCATCAGCTCCTGCACGGAGTCCAGGCTGCGCTGGGGGTGCTCCTCAATGTTCTTGACCTAGGAAGGGGGGGGCAGGCAAAAGATGGCATCTGGTCAGCAAGACCTGGGGGGGGGGGGGTAAAGCTAGGCTGAGCCTGGGAGGGGGAGTGCAGGATGGAGCCTGGTCTCTATGGGCCAAGTTCCCAATTCAGAATAAGAGAGTTGGAAGGGACCTTGGAGGTCTTCTAGTCCAGCCCCCTGCTCAAGCAGGAGACCCTACATCCCTTTAGACAAGGGGCTGTCCAGTCTCTTCTTAAAAAGCTCCAGTGTTGGAGCATCCACCGCTTCTAGAGGGAAGCCATTCCACTGTTTAATTATGTCTAGGTTGCTTCTCTCCTTGGTGAGTTTTCATCCGTTGCTTCTCAACCTGCCTTCAGG